AACCGCTTCATGTCCATGAACGAGGAGCTGCGGCACAAGGTGGCCGTGGTGCAGGCCCAGCTCAAGAGCGCCCTGGAGAAGAAGTCGGACCTGGAGGCGGTTGTGCTGCAAACGCAGAGGGAGATGAGCAGGAGGAGCAGAGCTGCCTCCGAAGCCCAGGCACCAAAGCCCAGCCCGGTGAGGAAGCCCCATCCCGGTGGCCACCGGGCACTGCTAACACGGGGTAGACCAGCCTGCAGCTGGGATGGCTCTGCAGCTCCCAGATCAGTCTGGGTGTTGCAAACTGCTAGCAGGGATGCACAGAATCACGGAATAGGGTTTGAATCTGGCTGTTTATCACTGTAGGCTGTACAGTAGCGAGTGTATAGGGATGCTGTAGGTGTGTAGCCCATGGGAATAGGCACGGTTGGAGGCAGGAGTTAGCAAGGGGAGGTGATGGGATCTCTAGTTGCTGCTAGAGTTTCCGTGCTCACTTTCTTTCCATCCCAATCCTAGGAAAGAGCACCGTTGTCCACAGAGGAAGCCTCGCTGCAGCACGGCCTGGGCAAGAGCCCCACTCACTGCTGCTTCTCCAGGGAAGAGCTGCAGCAAATCCTGCAGGAGCGGAATGAGCTCAAGACCAACCTGTTCCTGGTGCAGGAAGAGCTGGCTTATTACCAGCGGTGAGTCCCAGCATGGGAGCCATGGAAAGCGAGCCCGGAGCCCGGCAGAGGCTGCTCCTGCCACTGCTGCTCTGCCATCCTGAGAGGTTTTCTCTGCCTGGTTCTCAATAACCATCTGGTTTCTGTTCTGCCAGGGAGCTGCTGAACGAAGAGAGAATTCCCAGCTTCTTCCTGGATGCAATGAAATCGTCTATCAAAAAACAGCGGAGGAAAATCAGAGCCAAAATGCTGGGAACGACGGAGGAGTCAGCAAGCAGGTGAGTGTGTCTGGCCATGGAGGTGGCTCATGGGGCGGCTCCGCACAGGGCTGGGACACCTTGGAAGGGACCTCCCCCAGGCCCAGATCCGCTCTGTCCTGTGCTGTCCCTGTTCCAGAGATCAAAGGTTTGTTGCCTGCTCTTGATGTCTTGCTTGGGCTGAGCCCTGGGAGCGCTGCAGGGCCCGTGCTCTGCTCTGCCGCTGCTCACGTGTCCTTGTCACCAGCCACACGTGGCTGTTTCCTGGCCACATGCCGCTTGGCGCTGGGTGACGCATGGCAAAGCAGGAGGAGGTGGCGGTGCTGGGGACGCGGGACCCCTGCACGCTGTGCTCGGAGGCTGTCCCAGCGGAGAGCCCCTGAAGATGCCACCCCAGCTGTCCCTGGAGGCTCTGCAAGGCGATTGAGGGCAGCGGTGGCTCCAACATATCACTCTGGGGAGGGGAAGACGGTGCCGAGTGCCAGTCCGGGTGCTGCTCATCTGCTGGTGACAGCGGGGGCTGATCCTGCACAAGAGCTGCCGTATGCAGAGCTGGGTCTCACTGGCTTTGAGGGGCCTTGATAAAGGCCTGGAGGGTGCTGAGCTCTTCTACACTGCTATTGCTGCTCGCCTGCACTGCGGAGTGTCCAGCCAACCTTAAATCTGCCCTGGCAGGGAGCCATCGCGACGGGAGGAGGCTCCTGGCATCCGCATGGGCAGGGGGGCTCGGTGCCTGCCCTGTCCTGGCTGTCACCGGCCGGCCCGGGCTGGGCCGGGTGG